CTTCTAACAATAGCTGACTTTTTCTTCAGGCATACATCTTCAGTATGAAAAACTATACATGTACTTATACCTACAAAATCTACGCAATCGAAACTTGATTTGCATTTGTGGAAAAAAAGTTGTGAACATTTTGTATTGATATTAAACGTGCTTATCCAGTAATAAAATACTAACTGGAACATATAATAAAATTATATTAAAAAAAAAACATATTAGTCTTTGTATAGATATTTGATTTCTACTGTGATTTCTAGTAAGTACTGTCGCATTTATTTATACAAACGTTTATTAAGTCTACGTATGTTGAACTGACTGTGTTGGTGCCGGTGTAGATACCGGATGTGTTCATAATTACATTTGGTGCAGACGACATTTTTATATATATTTTTATCTATATTTCATGTACATTATACATAAATTCCTTGTTATTTTTGTTTGTTTGTTGGTGTGCGTGCTTGCGCGTGTTTACATAGATCATCATTTATGAAAGAAAATTCATATACAATTTTTGTGATAGTTTTGTTTATATTGTTATATTGTTAAATAAAATATGTATTTTGTTAATCGAAGTAAATAAATGAGCGGACGCAAAACTCGTGAATGGTTCAGTTATTTTTGTTTATGCATGTTCATTTTTTTTTGTTGAAAAATTACAAGGACGTTTTCGAAAAATGTAAATGCTATTTATATATATAAGAAAAAAATTCTGTATATGAATATGACAATTTTTTTTGTTTATTTGTTGCTCCGCGTCCTTTAGATGAGCGGACAAAATAAAGATCCCGGATATTTTATTCGAGAGTTATTACCCGTTTACTTCTGGAGCGAGCTTTTCCACCACTTAAATTAAGAGGAAGGGCTTGTTTTTGGTTTTTATTTCACCTACTAACCACCGACTGAACGTTTGAGATGTCCGGCGTTTGGCCGACGAGCCACTGGATTAAAGTGAATTTGTCTATAATGGAAGAGCTGTATCTAAAATAAATAATTAAGTTCATATTATTTAATATTAGACATAATAGTCAAAATATATTGACGTACTAAAGCTACATTCTGAGATATGTTTGTTCTTGTTTTACTCAAAATGGAGCAATTGATATTTTAAGTCTTTTTTTACGTCTTTTAAATTTACCAAATTGATCCGATAAAGTGAATCGCAATTTTTCTCAATGATGCATATAATGGTCTCATTGACCTCCCTTGCATTACAAAATCATCTTATGTATACATATAGATAGTATCATTCAATGAATTGCTGAATTCAAAATTAATTTGTCACCTTTTTCAAATATAATTTATAATAGAAATGAATACTTTTATCCTTCTTTAGAATGGTCAAATATGAATGTTTAATAATGGTTTTAGATCATGTTAGTTGCTTATATTATACCTGAAGAAATTAGCGATAAATGTGAATTTAATTGTCACAAAGTAGCAAAATGTAAACAAAGTAGTATTTTGACTTCAATACAAACTACTTAAATACTATATAACTGTACTAATCTCCCAAAAGCAACAGAAGTAAAATATGTTTCAATGAGTAATTTTTGAAAACTATAAACAGGACACCAAATACAAAAAGCTTTTGGGAAATTTAAATAAATGTACGTATTTCTGAGGAATAATGTTAACATGTCTGAGGTCCGTATTCTTGATGCCTCAAAGGGCGGATGGACTCTCACATTAGGCCTAGGCAAAACTCATACTCAGTCCTTTTCGTTCGTTCATTTGATAAAAAACAAACAGAAGTAAATTGTATCAAAGTTTTATCTGTAAAATGATAATGTTTGTGTTTGTTATGTTTGATTTGAGTCACACACGATTTTGAATTTGTTTCTGTGTATATTTTTTACTATATTTTTTGCATATCTGTCTTATATATGTAAGAAATTCGAGTTTTAAGGGTTTAGGCTTTTGAGCCTCAGTGAAGTTCCTTTAAAGAGATTTATCGTAACAATACAATTTCTCAAGAATTCACAACTTGATTGCATCTTCTCGCTATATAAAATTTCGCTTGCCGTTAAATTATTCAGTCCTCGGATAATTTCAAACTTCTATTCACCATTTATGATTTGAACATAAATGTAATATTTATAAATGTAATCAATAAAATTCGTATCTCATATACTTCCATCGTCTGCATAAACTTAATAGTGCTCGGATTGTCCTTATCTACCCGTCTACAATAATCAAACATTGAATTTGTATAAAGTCCTATTAAGCGGTTTACATGAGATAAAAATTCCTTTATACCAATATTTGGTGAGATTTGAGCAAAGCCTCGCACAGTCATTATTGGTAGAGAATAAGTCATCTCGTATTATGGTAACAGGTAAATAAATTGTCCTCAAGAGATAAAGGAATAAACTTGTATACCTTTAATATTAAAAACTCATAAACACGAAATCTTCTCATATTCACTATCGTCTTCGATGTTTACGGACATTTAAAATGGTTTATGGTGAAGAAATTTTATATTTATTAAAGGGATTGTATGACGTTATTACTACATTTGACTTTCAGACCAAATTATAAGGACGCTCAGAAATGACGCAGCAGGCGGTCCTAATGTTGGAAGAAACTTGCTCTAAAATCTTAGTAAAACTATGTAGAAAAATAAAATAATCATGTTAGTAACATCCCGGCATGACAAAACCATTAAAAAATAAAATTGTGCGCAAAACATTCTTAATTAATAAATTAATCTAAATTAATTATTCGACATAACATAATGTCGAAATGATTTGACGTCTTGACGTCATGAGAAGATAAAGAGTTATTTTTCTATTGTTTGTGAATCTTGTGCACATCGTTTTCATACATAAAATAAAATAATATCTTGACTAGAGAAAGCCTACACTTATCAGGACCTAGAACCAAAGAGAATACAAATAAAAATGAAACTATTTCCATGGAGATAATTTCTGTAATATAAATAAGATAAATAAATAATTCAGAGTCTTTCGTACAGAACGAAACATATATATAAAAAAATAAACGATAACACAAACAACAGTTTCGAAGTATAGAATTAAAAATTCTTCAATTAAATGTCTGTGCATCAGATGTACTAGTATTAGTTCCCTGTCCTATACAAGGTACTATAGTAACAGATGAGTACAGCTTATGATTGCCCGGAGTCGATAACAGTTGATTTATTATTTTTATTTATTTATTTTATTTCATTTATTTATTAATTTTACTTTTTAAAAAAAAATATAATATTATCATCTTCCCATAAAACACAGTAAATATAATGAACGGAATCATAACTAATTTGGTTTACAAATGTTACTCCTATACCGGCGATCTTCCTACATCGAGGCTGCGCTTGTGCCACAAGACATCATTGAATGATTGCACAAAACCGTTTTTATCTCACTGAGCTTCCTTCTTGAGTTTGACAAGATTTCACAATCATTTAACGCTTATCAGTTAGAAACGATTGAAAGCCGACATTGCGCTACACTATTTTAAGATTTTTACCGTATTATCGCGGACATACAGGATGTTGTTCACTTGCAAGTATGGGATTAGTTCAAAGGTCGTGAAGTTGAACATTATTGCTTACTTTAGGGAGAACAAAAACCCTTAAAGCCACATGTAGCTATTTTACGATTGCCGTTTTCTTAACCAGAGTACACTCTCAACCTCTTGCATTGCATAACTTGGTTTCTTATTTCAAGTATGCGACGGATTTTGAAGACTTAATGATAACATGTTTTGCATATTATGGCAAACTTTCACGCCTATAACGTTTTTTATCTTTTCATAATAAAAAAATAAAATCCCGGGGGGCTTTAAAATACATTCTGCGTTTATAACCCATTTTCAAATTGGGTCATTTTTATTGGGAAATTTTTTTAAAAAAACTGCGTACCCGGGGTACGAAAATTTTAAAACATCCCGCGATGTTGAAAAAGCAGACAATCGTTGGAGTTTTTATCACTCCCCCCTTGTTGATTGGGTTTAAATTTGTGAAAAATTAATTGAAGCACCTTTTTTTTTCCAAAAAGGGTTTAAAATTTTGGGGGAATTCATTTCCCGATACTTTAAAATTTTCCCCCTAAACAAATACGATTTTAAAACTTTTGCACAAGGCAGTGGGAAAGGGAAAAAGTTTTAACTGGTTTTAATTTTTAATTTTAAATTAATCTTTTAAAATTAAACGTCCCTGGGTAAATTTTCATTTAAACCGGGGGTGGGCGGGCCTTTAAAAGGGGGGCCATTCAATTTTGGAAAAGAATTACTGCAAATGGGATGATTTTAAAAGTAAAAAATTAATAAATTTTTTAAAAGTAATAAAAAAGCCCCCTATGCAACTTAGTCACGTGATTTTTGCTTAATACTTTAAAAAATGCGGCCTCCCCAAAGTTCTTTTTTTAAAGGGGAGTTTTTCAAATACTTTCCAACTATGGAAATTTAAATTTTGTAAACAGTTCCCTTTTTAAAAACATTTGTGGGTTTTATCTGAAAAACAATATCAACCTTTTTACCTATATACTAATCTTTTGTTAAGACTTTTAAGGTTTAAAAAATGGTAGATCTTAAAGTTAATGACATGTATAACTTTGTTAAAGTTGCTTTATTTGGTGTCTACATATCATGTCAAATTCCTCAAACTATCAGAAATATCAATTTTGAACTTTATTGGATTGATAGATTATTTAAGCAATATTGAAATGTTCTTCTATATAGAGGAAATTATATGTTATATAACATATACATATTAAGATAAGAAGAATGTTCTTTGTCATTGTGAGAAATGTTGTTAAACATCTTTAATTTCAACAAGAGAAATGGTTTTAATGTATTGACATTGCTTGTGAAGTTGTTATAAACTAGTTAAGAACTTAATGTCAATCAATATTTTGATTGTAAAATAAATGGTTACACAGTAGATCAATTTGAATTCAATTTACTTGAATTGCTTAAACTTACTGATAAACCTTTGACTGACTCAGTTACTGAGAGTAACAAGAAAATTGAAGAGATAAATGTATACAAAACAATATTTTAATCTTTCAATACATTAAAGAACAATGTTGCATCAATAAAATTAAAATATATATGATAAAGGTAAAGAGTAAAAACATGAACATGAATTCTATATAATAAATCAATGAACAATGATAATATTTACACACTCATGTTAAAATGTTATTCATATTAACATATGTTTTGGACGGAGTTTGGATAAGAGCTGAGGTTCCTTATTTCATTAAAAGGACAACCTCTTATTTGACAATAAACAAACAATAACTAGAATAAACTAAATGTGATACATGAAAATATTTGAGCTTAAAGAAAATAAAGCACATAAATAATTTGTGAGCATATATCACCTTTCACATTATTACAAACATAGTATAGAGATCTCCCTTTTTAAAAAAAAGTTTCAAATTATTATTTTGAAATACTATTTCAATTATTCAGAGACATCTGAATAACTTTCTACCGTAACAAATCATGTTTTCAAAAACTCTTATATGAAAGGAGAGATTCAGATCTATATGAACATATAATCAGCAAAACAATAGATCTACATGTAGTTCAAAATGCATTTAATTTTCCTAATTTATTTTGTAAGTTATAACAATCAATTAAATAAAGATCTATAATAGTTTGGCTATTATATTCATGTCAGTTAATAAAGCAATTGATAAAACACTTCTTATAGTTGTTGAATAAATGAACAAAAAAATATCCTTCCGGAAAATTCATCACTTATTTTTGTTGGTAAAAAAGTTAAAGATTTCTCTCAAATTTTAAATAATATTCATGATTTCTTCAATAACAAATGTCTTTCATTAAGTTTAAAGAATTATGTTGGTATTCCAGTCCTGGTATAAAATGTGTCAGCTACGATCCTTGTCCGTCCATTTGCAGGCTTTTTAATTTCTTCTTTTTTAATCACATCGCTCAACCTCCATCCGTACTCCCACGAATTCAACAATGGAAACTCGAACTTATCCTCGGGATTCATCTCGTTTCTCTTACGTAAATACTGGTATCTTCCTTTACCCTCCTTCGTAAATCCATCATATAATTTTTCAGTGACGGATGCTGGTACTGGCCGCATTTCGGCGCTAAGTAAGTTAATACCGTCAGATTTATCACAGAGAGTATCGTCCGTACGTGTGATTTTCTTATTATATCTAGGCTCCTTTACACCTTTTGGAACCCTGGCCATTAAACCCTCTGGTTTAGATTCATTTTCGATTTTCCTCCTGAACACTTCAAACTGTTTTGACTTTCCACCTTCCCTGCGCCCTTGCTGTTTCGCATACCATGTTAAACGTTGTCCTTGTTCTTTCAGGTATGATTCCTCGAGAAACTTTTGGATTTGAGTATTTGCCGGATAACTGCGGCTTGCCATGATTGTCGTTTATATCTAAAATACCTAATCAGTATTGAATATATTTTTGTTCATTAATAAGTCACTAGTTACAACTGTCCCAACTAACTTTCCATGACACCGATATCCGATCGTGAAGCGTACAAACGTCGCCACGGTGACGTGACGTCACAAATCTCGTTAAGCATTACGAGATTTCATCAGCTTCCGGTTAGTATTACTACAACAACAACAATCATGGCTCCCTGTCCGGAAGAAGTGGACGTTTTTACAATTCCCCATTCTCGGATGAAAGAATTAGTTTGCAAATATTTAGATATGGTAAGCCACTACACTATATGATTGTTATTTTATGCTGATAACTCTTTTGGACTGGTAATGTCAAATTACGCGGAATGACCGGTGAAATCAGTGACCTATATAATGAGTATATATTTTGTGATCAATGTTACTAAAAATAGTAACAAAACATTTCTGTCAATTTATATGAATTCAACCTGGATTCTCTTGTTAAGGAATAGATTGTTTAAAACTGTCATCTGAACATTTATAAACTAAACCTGAAAAATAAGTTGGCTTTTAGATCTGGCAGATAGTTGTTCAATCTATAACCATGAGAACCATCCTATTTATTATCCTGGCTTCTTATATTTTCGACGGTGTAAGGACATTTCGTGTCGGCAAAAATGTAAAAAGGAAATAAATGCATATTTTATATTATCACCAACTAAAATTATCTTTTTCCTTACTAATTTTAAAATTTCAATACAAAAACATAAAAATTTACCTTTTTACACTAGTTTTATGGAGGCAGCCATTTTGGTTTCTGAGAAAAATGACGTCTTATATTTTCGACGATTTTCATTGGTCGAGGAAATTCAGGTACAGGGTGGTCAAAAAAGTTTTTCACACTGTATATCAGTAACATACTATCAGTCCCAGAAGAAAGTAACTTATTCCAAACAATGTAGAACAATTTTTGAAAATAATGGTAGTGTCCAACAACATAAAAAACGTTAACTGTTGAAGTTTTATTTTCATTTCAATTTTTTTTTCTTTTTTTTTTATATAAAATAACTTAACAGATAAGTCTATTGTTCATTAGAGCAAGAAGGGCACAGAAAAGTGTCATTCCTTCTTAGCACTCTAACTTGACTGCAAAACGTCAGGTGAACCCACCCATCACACCTGTCACAACATCCCCAGTTAACGATAGTTCAATATGGCAATTTGTCAATACCTTTTACATTGTGACGCCTGCAAACAATACACTTGCGAGAATCTTAACTGTCATTTTGTTCAACATCCGAGTCAGTATTAGCAACCACATAGTTTTTTGACTTTTTTTGTTTGGAATACCAGATGTACTAGCAACAGAGGTGTTGTAACGCTTTGACTTATTTAATTTTCGGTCTGAAATATGTGTTTTAACTGCATAAAACACTTGTTCTTCAGTTACCGCTTTCCCTCCAACAACCTTACTTAAAGTCTTTCTTGTTTTAGCAAGTGGAACATTTTGCAACACTTTACTACCTCTATTTTCTAGAAATGACCTAGCATCTGATGCAATTGATACCTCATCTTGGCCTTTTTTACTACCATCAACAATTTCAGATGAATTAGTGATTTCAGTTTGAAAACTTAAAGAAGGTGCAATAGAAGCATCACTTACAACATCAGAGTTAAATGGGTAAATACCACAACGTTTGAAGGCAGACTGTATATTGACAGGTGTGAGGGTTGCTGTGTATACTTTGCTTGCTATTTTACCAACTTCATAGCGCGTTACTACACGACCACCAGATTCTCTCAGGTATTGATGACACGCTGCATTCCATCCTACCTCAAAAGGTGCAAAACATGAAACATCCATAGGTTGTAATAGATGTGAACAATGTGGTGGAAGTACGAAAAGAATGATGTGCTGTGATCTTGCCCACTCAATAAGACCTAGAGAAACATGACTTTTATGACCATCGTACAACACCAGAACTTGGTTTTCTTTAGTGCGACTTGGCAGTAATGGCTCTAAATGCTGAATCATGTAATTAGTAAATATTTCTGTATTTGACCACCCTGACTCTGACACATCACCTTGAGACCCTGGTGTAGCACCTTCCAATAAAGCTGGCAACATTCTTGCTCCAGGAAAAATAAAATATGGTGGAATCTGGTGTCCTACAGCATTGGCTCCACCTATAACAGTTACTGTTTTAGATCTTCCAGCTGTGACAGCTTGAGCCTTGTAGTGTGCACCTGCAACTATTTTAGGAGGCTTGTGCTCAAGATTTAATCCTTTCTCGTCAATATTATAAATACGAGAGGGCTCATCCTTCAGATTGTATTTTTTAAGAACTGTATCAAGTTCTTTGAAATACCTTGTTATTGTTGTACGAGTAGCAGACTTTGCTCTGGCAATTTCAAGGCTACGTGGTTTTTTCACTTTAAGTTCAGGCCATCTATCAAGAAAGCTATATAACCATGTTATACTTAATGGTTTACATTTGTCTTTGATACCTAAATGCACAGCATAGTCTGAGGCAAGATTTATTGTCTCCTGTCTTGAGTAGCCATAACCAATTTCTGCCATAGTTTTCAAATGTTCAGTTAAGAAAGCTTCCTGCTCTTGACTAAATATAGTTTGGGGACCTGATTTTACAGTGTCAATATCAACTCTCCCCTTAACTCTATCTTTAAGGGTTGTGACAGGCACATTAAACCTTTTGGCAACTCTCTCTACAGGCAATCTTTCTTCTATTACTGTCCTGTAAGCTTCATTCAGGTCACTTGCTGTGTAGGACCTATACTTGCCCCGGATGTGGGTCTTGATCTGAAAAAAAATGAAGAAGGAAATTAATTTAGTAGTCTGAACCCTAAGCATACATTGTGTAATCAATGAACTTTTGGGAACACCCTGTACATAAAATTTGACATATCACGTGACCTTTGGGAGAATTGAAGATCATAGCAGACGTATTGAAACACATTTAATTTTTTAGGCGATAATATTTATATTATTGTGTTTCTTAGCAACAGATTTTTAGGAAATAAGAAAATACACGTGTTTGACCATTAGAAACATTGTGATAAAAGGTTTACCTGTCTAATTTCCATGTTATGCTACTTTGACATTTTAGCGGCATCCAGCATCATTTTGTTTACATCCGGAAGGGGTGGAGTTACAAAATTCTCGCGAGATCATAACATATTCGGATAGAAATGGCTACCGTCGAAAATATAAGAACGTCGAAAATATAATACGCCACGATACTATAGAGTCACCGTACCAGTGCTCAACCAGTTTTTTCTAAAATTACATAAAAACTCTTACAGAACAAAAAGTTTGCTGGGAAATTTATTTTTGTTACAAAGCTGGCCCTTTCAAACTCACAATAAGCTAAAGCATTTTAATTACACAGATCAGGATACAATTTACCACAGAGTTGTATATAGGGTATAAAACCACTATTTTTTTCAGGCAACCAAACCAGTGCTCGACCAGGTGGTTTTATCTCTATCAGAACTTTTATTTTTTAAAAACAGATATGACTTTTTATGTTCAACAATTCTATTTCAAAAATATTTTGAAACATTTATGTTATAGTATCTATAGATGTTAATATGAGAGCAAATATGATACGAAGGAAATGCTATACATTGACAAATAAAGTGTTTATAATAGTTTTGGAATTTACATATACTGGGGTGTTTGAGATTACATATTCTCATTTTTATTTTACTAAAATCACTCTGCAAACATAGTTAAGTGTGATTATTGGTGTAATATACAAATGGTCTATGCTTTTAGTGGTGTGTTCCCAATTTGTTTCAGTACAGCTGCCATATTTGTTTACAAGTATATAACCCCCTGCCTATAATGGAAAGCAGGGTTTTGATAATTTTTGGGCACCTTTCCTATGGAAATCAATTGGAATCATAAGAGTAAAGGCAATTTAACAAAGTATTGTCCACATTTGCCCTAAATTATCATCATTTCATTGTTTTAAATAGTGTTTACTGCTGCTTTTATTATAGAATTGTATTTTTGTACTGTTTAATATTGTCTGCAAAAAGGCCAATCTTTTACCAAACTTGGAGTACTTGTACGTGGTGTAGAGGTTACAGGTCAGGTACAAATAGCACATACAAACTCCTAAAGTTTTTCCACTTTAATACATAAATCGTACAAAAATAGAAGTATTGGTCGAGCACTGGGCTGGTCGAGCACAGGTACTGTGACTCTATAGGACTACATATATTTGCCAAATTATCTGTGTCCTCCTTCTTCCAACATAATGAAGATTATACTGGAAGTCAAAGGTAGGGTCTGCGAATTGGGCCCGGGCTTTGGCTTGCCCATCTTTAGACTACATGTGCATATTTACTAGACCGATGAAAATGCCCGATCGAGCTTACAAGTGTTTTAATTTCTTTTTATAACTACTACCCTAAAACGGTACTGTTCCCAATAGAAAATAGACATTGAAATTCCCAATTTCCAATGTTTAAATTCCCAAAATGACTGTTCAAAATGCCCACAAGGCCAAGTGATTTCTCTGAAATCATTTAAATCCAACATATCCATATAAATCACCACTCTAAAGTCCTACCTGGAGAGTGGAAGCTGTTAGCTGTCTTTATTCATGATGACTAATCTTTTTTTGTAGCTGAAAAAAATGCATAAAAAAATTCCCAATTTAAGTCAAAATAACGCATTTTTTCCCAATCAGTCTGGTACCGGCACCATTTTCAAAGAAGAGAAAAAAAAACACTGGTGCATATAATGACATAAAAAATCATATTTCTAGAAAAATAATAAAGACATTTCTTTTAAACTTGTTTGTTTATTGAGCATAAAATATACTATAAACAAAAAGAAAAATATTTGGTAAATATCACTTTTGTGAGAATTATTTCGAATAATTTCGCTTTTTTCATGTTTATATATTTAAATATTAATGTTTGTCTGTAGTTTAACTGCTAAACTGTTCACATTTTATTGAAGTACCATGTAGTAGACTATTTAGTGAAAGTGCTTCTGTATTTTGTCTACTAAGTTTTCCTACAGGTACTCCTAGCACTTTCATTAATTGACTGTTATCTTTCATATTTGTTGATTAGATACCTTTCAGTTTTTTATTATTATTATTATTATTATTATTATATACCAAACTTCTTAAGCACTTTTTTCATGCACATTGACACGTTCAAAAGTACTGTACAGTATAACCAAATAAATGATACAATATTTAAAAGAAAAAAAAACAACAAAAGAAACAAATTAAAACATCAATATCGCTCAAGTCACAAATTCAAATCAAATGTAGTTTAAAAAAGTTAAAAAGACCCACATAAATAATAAAATTCAGGTAAGAACCTAAAAAATAATCAGTCCAAATAAAACCTCTTAAATAAGTGAGTTTTAAGTGCTCTCTTAAACACTGTTAGAGTTTCACAGCTTTTAAGTGTTCTAGGTAGGGCATTCCAGAGTTTAGGGGCTGCCGTCATAAAAGCACGATCACCATAAGTCACAGTCCTACTACGCGGTACAACAAGTGCTAAGCAATCATTCTGGGACCTAAGTTGTCTGGATGGGGTATAAATGTCTAGCATGTTTCGTATGTACGTAGGTGCCTGTCCATGAAGCGCCTTAAACACATATGTAAGGAGTTTGTACTCGACTCTGATGTGCACAGGAAGCCAATGTAGTTCCTTTAAAACTGGGGTTATGTGGCAGTTTCGCGGTGTCCTGGTAATAACACGAGCAGCCGTATTTTGAACATTTTGGAGCTTGTTGAGAACGTACTTTGGAGATCCATATAGCAACGAATTACAGTAATCTAATTTTGATGTCACTAACGAGTTTATCAAGGTTCTGGTTGAATCAACAGTCAAGTATTTCCGAATTTGACCTATTTGTCGTATTTTCATGAAGCATGAACGAGAAACTGAGTTCACATGTTGTGAACTTCCATGTCTAAATGAGAGTCCAATACGGCGCCAAGGTTTCTAACTGTTGTTGATGCTATTATTACAGAATCACCGACTCTTACAGTAAGATCTTCAACATCACTTCGTTTTGGTACAAAGACGTTTGGTGATCCTCTGACTTTGGACGGAGTTAGGAGTAACTTGGGTCAAGGTCACGAGTGCTAATGATATTTTTATTTCAATTTTTATAAATATTTGATCATTTTACAGCTGACAGCTACCAACTTTGCTGATGTGGTCCACTTAACTGCTCTGCTTGAAAACTTGATCCGCACTTTCCAAGAGTTTATAGCCCACGAGCAGATTGAGAATCAGTTCATCATGAAGAAATTAAAGAACAAACTACGCTCGTTGTCCATCCAAAACACGGCAGTTTGCAACTGTCACAAGGACAACCGGCTGGAAAATATGCTAAAGTTTTTACAAGATGGGTACAAGTGTACAAAGAAAAGTGATTTAGATCGTAATAATTACGGTCTACAGCTGAGACAAGAGCTAGAAGATTTCACGGAGACTTTCTTACCTCATATGGAGGAAGAAGAAGAGGTAAAACTATTTGTTACGGGATTATTCATGCATATTTTTCGATTACTCTATTTAGAATTTCCTTGCATGGTTGTGGATTTTATATGCCGATGAGAGTGCATTCCTTAGTTGAATATGTATATAAACTTATTAATTAAGTTATCAAGGGAAAATATTGCTGTAGATGCTGGTTTTTAACATTTTAGATGAAACTGATACTGTAACAAGGAAAAAAAGATTAGCATATTGTATCTAAGTAATTAAATTATATATAGATCTGTATAGATAATATTAAGTGATTTCTAAGAGCCATTGTTCTTCAAATTAAGTCAATGATGTTCTTCAAATTAAGTCAGTGATGTAATTTGTCAAAAGTTTTGGCCCTGATGTAAGCAAAACGTGACAAAGCCACAGTAACATACAAGTTAAATTGTATGATAAATTTACTTTATTTTAAACATTTGCAGGTTTTTCAGCCATTGTTAATGCAACATTTTACATATGAAGAGCTGAAGCAGATAAAGGCCACTGTCTTGCAACAACACTTTAAGATGGAAACAGAGGATATTCCTGAAAAATTTGTAGCTGATAACAAATCAAGTAAGCTATTTTAAGGATGTCAGTGGAAATCTATTATTCAAAAATCATGAATGATTTTAATATCAGCTACAATTAGTACAAAATGATTTAACTCATATTATACATGTTATGAAGAGAATACACAGATATGGTTTTTTATCAATATTGGCCTATATATAATTTTCAGTTATAATGATAAAATAAGATTATTTTTAAATATGTGACTATTACCTGTATATGTATACAAGGTTTCCATATTTGGTCAATATAGCATTAATAAGTGTCCATTAGTAATTCATTGGTTGTCTCCCTTTCTGACTGAAATATAGTATGTAATTTATATAGAGGATATTGAATGGGTTTAGGTTCAATACTGAATTTATTGAACAAGTTGAATAAAATTATGTTTGAGGGTCTCCAGGGAAAATAATATTATTTTATTCAACAAGTTCAATAAGTTTAGTAATGAAGTAATACTAATATATTAATCTATTTTTCACAAATCTGAAATAAGACAAAATTGATATATAGTAAAAAAAGCACTTTTCCATTGATGAGCCTTTAGTGTAACACTAATTCACCATTTTTTGCATCGGTTAAGCTATGTTTGTATTTTATAACTCAAATAAGGTCATGACAAAATATATGCTTGACCGTACAATATAATTTGTATGGAGTTGCAAAAGCGGCATGGGTGTGTTAGAAGTATAATTTACTAGCTTATAATATGTTTTCAGAAGAGCTTCTTTCTGATCTACTCATGTTTAACATTATAGTATTTCTGGTTGTTGATAGCAACAATATTTATTTTATTTTAGGTAAATCAGACATGAGCATGAATATTTCTGGCCTGAATGACACAGTTGGTATAGAAAATTTACCGGATGAAGTTATGCTGAAGGTGTTTTCTCACTTGAACCCTCAAGCACTCTGCCGTTCTGCTCAAGTGTCACATAGATGGAATTCACTTGCCATGGATGGCAGTTTGTGGACACAACTGTATCCAGTTAGCTGGGCAAAAGGTATGTGGTAAAGGCTGTGGTAAAAATTCAATCATTTCAAAATAATGTCATAAGTTGCGAGCAAAGTATGAACATCTCTATTTTTATTGTGACATTTTCATAACCAATGGTTTCAATTTGTTCTTAGAGAACATAATTGTTGAAATGTGTGTTTTGGAACTCCAATGGGGTCCAAAAGCCTAAAACATATTTGAAATTCTTAAAATGCTCAAATGAAGTATTTAAATTTAAAAAAAAAAAAATATGCAAAAGGAAATAAAGAAATATACTCTAAGTGAAAATGGAAATGGTATTTTTGTGTGAGTTTTAGTGTGCTTCAATTGAAAAGCATTTTTTACGCTTTTCATTTCACAATTCAAGTAATTATCCTAGAAAAAAAGAGTGAAGGAATAATCTGAAATTTGCCACATTCGCACCATGTAAAAATCTTCAGTGAAGTCCCTTTAAACTTAAGTCTAACATGTAATTTGATGAAGTTGATAGTGGATGGAAGACATCTTATAAATAAATTAAACTTTGTATGGTCGGAATTCAAATATTTTAATTAACATTAGATTTTATTTTCTTGTTTTGTTAGTTTTCTATTTTATACAACATGTATATCCCATTCAAATGACTTAAGTTCCTGGAGTATTATCTATAACTTTACCCATCCTTTTTCATCACTGATGATTTAAGCATACATGTAACCTACATTGTAAGACACAATGTAGATTGCTCCTTCAGCTAGGCTTTTCGTGTAGATTAAGAAGCTTCTAACAATAAGATTCATTTGACATTTTTGTATACCAGAAATGTTTCATAAATGTTTTTGCATGAAAAAAAACATATCACAATTTTTTTTAACCTGCTGAATTTCTTAAATGAACTTATCCATCATTCAGCTTGTACATGCTGAACAAAACCATTCATGGTTTTATGGGAAAATTTCAAATTATGCAAAATATGTGGTGAATGAAACTCAGTAACAAACGGTGCAGACCAAGATGTTAGGCTGCACTGGTCTTTATGGGTAGAATTTGTTGCCACAAGCAGAGGAGGAGTTACATGTATAAATCCTAAAAGAGACCAGTTTGACACCTTGTTCTTTACTGTGTTGTGCTTTCATGATTTTTATATTCCGGAAATGTTGATAAAAAAATGTTTTGTTTGACCCAGGTTTCAGACTCACTAGTAGCATTATATCTTTAAGACAACCATCCTTCCATTGTACAGTTAGGAGTTAAAGAAGTAGGTCACATATTATAGCATTAAGCACACTATGACTAGAGTACATGTATTTACAATGATTACAGGTGACTGGGATGCTAGGGATGGTGTATACGAGGAAGACACTATTGATGTAGAGGAGAGATTAAATGCTAAGAGTTATGATGAGGATGCTGATGTTGATGAAACTGATGAGTGGGACGCCGAGGCGATTGAGGTAAACTGTTAATTATATAATTAATACAATAATTGTCATTGTCATTAGAGATTATTTACTATGAAGTAATTTACTGAGTGTAATGGAGTGAAACTGATGACTACAACAATGAGGTTATTAAGGTAAACTCTTAATTGTGAAATAATTAGACAGTTGTCATTATAACCTAATCCACAAGTATGCATGAAATAACTGTATATTAATACACTTGTTACTATATATAGTAACAAATTGCCGATGATTTCAGCTCATTATGACTGTCACATGGCTGATTATTAGTTTGCGGCCCAGGCCCAATAACTGATAATCATAATCTGCCCGCTGAATACGAGTATGTGCACATACTGAAACAGTGACGTCACATTTTACGTCATCAAAACATGAAAGTAGGATGGAAGCATTAATAGCTTGATTTTATAATAAGAACATAGTTGTAATATCTACAAACACGGCTTTATTGAAATTAACAGAAAAAATACTAGCTACAATTTCATTCTTGGAAAATATGTCGTGCTTCTAGATTCTGTTGCATACACATAAGGGTAGAAGTTACTGTATAGTACAGTGAGGAAGTTATTCAGCTTGTTTACAGAACTTTGATGGTTCTTCTCCGGTGCATGTTTAGGCCTGAAATAATGCATGGAGGGTCATTTGACGTCTTCCTCCACCATAAAAGTTGGAAAGTCACCTTTACAGTATTGGTGCAACATAAAATGCGTCAACAAAATTTAATAACACAACAGACCAAACTGTAAATGAAAAATTCAAATTACTAAAACATTCTGAAGACCAGAGACAGAAACTATCATTATTGTGAGGTTTTACTGTGGGGAACAATTGGTATATTGCTGTAGTGAAGAGGAAATTGCCTTATAAAAGGCTGCTGTAACGAGGTTGCACTGTAGTTACTTCACAGTTTCCTTATAGAGAAAAATGCAGATATATGTTTTAGTTAATTTTCCTTATATTTTGTACTATATTTCAAGATGGTTTACATAATTATAGTCTCTTAAGTTGTCATAAGGAGGAAGATAAAAATCACATCAGAAATGCATGTGTGGCATCAATCAAGTGTTTATGCTTTTCATTATATAGAAATTTGTAAAAATGTCTGAAAATTGTCAGGATATACAAGTTTCCTAACAATTTGGTATTTTTGAATGACGAAATATTTTGAAATAATTAAAAATATCATATTTATTTATCAGAATTAATATGTAAGTGAAAAGGAATCTGATAAAGATCTATTATAATGACATTAATATAAATTATTAGTGGGAAAAATCTCTCTAAAAGAACATTAAGAGGGAAAAATTTTAGAAAATAATTGAGTTATTTTGTACTGAAATTAATCAAAAGGATCAGCTTTAACGGAACTCCTCTTACAAAGATCAGCTGCGATATTATAACAAGCAAGATTAGGCCTTGAAGAAGTTTGCCAGACTTCACATACCTTTACTGATTTATCCGTGAAAATTATATTTGGTAATTTCACAGTGAAAATTATCAAAATATAATTTCACTCTTTTCAATGACGAAACTACTTTTTTAAGATTTTCCCCCATGTGGTACCTCAATTTTATTTTTGCTGACAATTCTGACAATGTCAGGCTGTTTAAAAAAAAGCAAAGCTGAAATTGATAAATAACTTAAATGTCAAAAGTAATAAAAAGAAGAAAACTTACATCTATTCATTCAAATTCCAATCACCAAATTTCGTCTCTAAATTTTTTTGTTTCATTTTTACAGTCTGAAAAATACATTCCTTCCCCATGCAAAACTGCTCTTGATGACATTTGGGCATATTAAAGTATCCTACGAGCAATAACTGCCGTATGCTTTATGAAAAATTGAAAAGCATTGACAGCCATCACTCGTCGAATAAGTTAAACAACCCAACGTTCTTGACTACTTGAGCAAGCTTCCAAGTTTTCCATTTTCCTAGCTCCTTTTCTGAATGTTTTCACATCTGTTAACACTTATTTTTTGTCTGTTACAATCCTCAAATAGGTTTTCTTTCTTTTAAAAATGTGTATGACTAAAAAATCCAAATTATATCCTTCTGAATCTTACACAATTATTTTCCTCCCATGAAATACACAACTTTAAAAAATGGCTGCCGCTTACAATTTACAAAGCCAGGTCTAATATAAATACGCAGTAAGTAACAGAAATATGGATGGATGGTTGGACTTTTTCTCCTACAAGAGTTGTTTGTTCTTATTATTAAAACAAGTGATCATTCATATTTTTTAAATAAAATGAATAAATATCACCGTCATTTAATGTTGATTGGCGGACTTTTTTTTCAGCTCAAGACTTCTTGTTTTTAATGAGAAATTCCGAATAAATGGGGCTCTCAATAGGGGAAACAGTTTTAATATTAACGTTAAAATTATGGAAATTTCATTTTAACTTGTTTTTAAGCATAAAATAAAAAGAAAATTTGTCTGTTTGTTGTGTAAGATGTAATTTTATTTCATCTCGTGAACTTTAAAAACAGTATTCTCACTCGTGGCTACGCCACTCGTGAGAATACTGTTTTTAAAGCCCACTCGATGAAATAAAATTTCATCTTACACACAAACAAACAAATATCCTCTATATATATATATATCTTACTTACAATGTTTATATTCTTACATGTATTAATGATGTTTTTTCTATAGCTATAATTCATTTTACATGTTTTTTAACCATTTGTATATTTGATTGAGGCTCCTAGGGAAGACTCTTCAGGCCCAACTGTGTTGCCTCTTTAAATTAATTCTATTATTATAAATATTTAAATTTTTACAGTAAATATAGGAATGTTTTCTACTGCAGATCCAGCATCAATCCTCCATGTTGACAACTATGTGTAAACATTTGTTACCTCGTGTTGGAAGAACAATAAAACATTGCGATCTTGCATATAGTAAAGGATTGACTAATGGAGCAGTAAGTATTATCTGCAATACATTGAAAAAATGAAGTTCAAAGTTTTTGCTAGTTGGTAGTTCCAGAACGTTTTTAGTTACTAATTGTTGGTGAATTCATAGTTTCAAAGTTTTGGCATGTTCTTAGTACCCATGTGTTGGCAAATGCAAAGTTCCCCAGTATTCACAAAATTTAAAGCAAATGCTAAGTTTACTGCTGGCTAATTCTTTGTTCCTGATAGTGGGTGAGTTCTTAGTTCTTGAGTGTTGGTAAATTCTTTGTTCCTGTTGGAAAATGATAAATTCCTGATTGTTGGCAAATGCTTAGTTCCTAAAATTGTCAGATTCTTAGTTCTTGAGTTTGTACATATTTTCAGTTCCTAGTTATTGTGAATTGAAAGTTTCAGAGTTTTGGCATGTTCATAGTACCGAGTGTTGACAAATGCATAGTTCCTGAGTGTTGCAAAATTTAAAGCAAATGCATAATTTAGTTTGTAAGTGTTGGATAATTTTTAGTTCCAGAATTGTTGGTGAATTCTTTGTTTTTGTTGGAAAATGTTAAAATCTTGATTGTTGTCAAATTCTTAGTTCCTGAGTTCTAGGCAAATACTTAGTGCCTAAGTGTTTAGCAGTTGCTTAGTTTTTGAGTTTGGGCAACTGCTTAGTTCCTAAGTCTTGGCAAATGCTTAGTTCCTGAATTTAGACAAATGCTAAGTTCCTAATTTTAAACAAATGCATAGATCCTGAGTTTAGACAAATGCTTAGATCCTGAGCTTAGAAAAACGCTTAGTTCCAGAGTTTGGGCAAATGCTTAGTTTTCGAGTGTTTTCAAATTCTCAGTCCTTGAGTTTTAGCAAATGGTTATTTCATGAGTTTGGGCAAATGGTTAATTCCTGAGTTTTGGCAAATTCTTAGTCTCTGATAGTGGGTGAATTTGTAGTTCAAGAATGTGTACAAAGTCTTAGTTCCTTAGTGTTGATATTTTATTTTGAATGAGAAAGCTATCTGTTTTCTTTTGAAAGGTTAATGCTTGTATCCTGGAAGAAGATATGTTAGCAATGATTCTAAAAAGGAATAAAAATCAAGTAGATAATTGCATTCAGTTAAAATGTCATTTTGCTTTGTAAAAATATCCAATTAGCCAAGGGAAGTTTAACTGTTTTAACTAGTTCTATGTAGAACAATTAAATCAATGTGCATGTTTGATGAAAATGCACTGTTTAAGCATTAATTGTGTATATTGCTAAACCTAGTTTTAGATTAAGCAGAAACATGGAACAGAAAGGTGATAGAACAGATATATTCTAATTATTTGATATTTTCAGCTGTACAAAGTTCTTTCCCTTTGTCCAAACTTGGAGTATTTGGATCTTACTCACACAAGAGTGTCTGACCTTGGATTTAAAGGGTATGTTAAAGAAAATTTTATACCAGTTATTGTTTCTAAATTAATAGAAGGATAAAAAGACAGATATTCATCCTATATTCATAACAGTTTTTACATGTAAAGTTAAAAATTGGCTTAGTAAAAGCTGCTATTTTCCATCTTAAGATCTTTGATATACCTTGCTTTTAGTACTTGGCATTTAAATGTATTGTAATACTCTATATATGTTATATGTCTATAGGTTCAAGAAAGGGAGTGGTGGTAAGAAGTTAAGACATCTTGATCTGACTGGTTGCCTGTATATCACAGACCAAACTCTTCAAAGATTGTCATCAGCTTTAGGTCAGATTCCATGTCACATGACCGAAACTGAAAATCAGGTGACAGACCATGTGACTAACCTAAATATGGAATCAGCCAATGAGGAGGAAGGCTGTGCCGACTGCAAAGAAGAAAGGAAAAACGGAAGTTATGAATTTGAAAAACAAGAAAAAAAGAGAAACAGATGTCCAATGTTGTCAAGTAACAAGGTCATGAATCCAGATGGCATTGGGAAAGAATTAATGCATGAAGGAAAAAGAGACAATACAAACAAATGCTGTGGGTTAGACCAGGATGATGATGGACGGTTGGCACCGGACAAAGGTAAAAGTCGCAATTGTTGTTCATCAAGAGGCTGTGATAAGAAGTTTGAGGATAATGTGCCCGACTTTAAACGAGCAAGGAACAAGAACGGTTGTAGTTGCTGTGGCAACGATGCTAATCTGCCAATACTTTATGAAGAAACTCCACATGTTGTTGATACTGATGAAACCCATAATGAGAAGTTTGATAATGACGACACAGACACACAAGACAGGTCATGGATCAAAGGTGAAGGTCATGCTGATGAAGTGACATTGACAGTGAATGATGACCTTTCCACCGAAGAAAATGATCCGTACAAAGAAGGATATGATGTAACAGTGCATCAAACCACAACACAAAGACAAGATGAGAAAAATATAAGGAATCTCAACGGAGGTACTGAATATGAAGTCGAAATTGTCCCGAACAATGAAATAATCCAAACAGAATCCAGCCCAGGACAGACATTCTTGCCGGATTTCTTTTTTCTTCCAAATGTGAGACCCGAAAGGGATTATGACTTAGACGTAGAAGTTAAAACTGTGCTTCCAGTGGTATCAAGTGGTGTTAAAAATGACTTTGAGGGTGGTGAGGATCCAAACAGAGCCCTGGAGTTTCTGAGTCTATCCGGATGCTACCAGATTACAGATGAGGGCCTAGAGTAAGTAGATTCTTTGTTATTTCTTTCTATGAATATATTCCATGGGTAGCCCCAGTCAAGGCAAAATTTCTTCATGACAATTGATCTTGATCATTGAGTATAATGGTCATTTGACTCTGACACCGCTGGTTTATAAATAATAAGTAATCAGTGGTTTGTTATCCAGGAAAGCTGGTAAAATGGACTGACTGCCGAGATATGACCAAAAATTTGTAAAAATCAGATACACCAACAAATAAGTACCAAAATCAATAGAAACATTTGCTCAAGTTCACATTTGTTGCCATATTTTAAAAAACACATAATATATGTTTAGTGATAAAGCAGTTAAAATGAAGTCGTCAATGTTTTATCATGATGGCTGTTTTTGATAACAAGTTATATGTATGCGACAAAAAGTTCTTGAAAAATAGGGAAAAGTTGTTTAATATTGGATTGAACTTTGGCTCTGACTGTCTGTATGAACCTTATTTTCATGTTTTTGTTTTATAAGACGAGGAAAGATAATAAATGTATAGATCACTTACAGTAGTTGTCTCCCTTACACTATTTACAAGTGTATGTTGTGATATATAGTCTTTATATTATAATAACAACAACAACATAAAATGATAATAATTGTATATTAGTCACTATATGAAAGTATTTATGTTATCAGCTCTGCTTCTAAATAAATTGTCAGCTTCTATGATAGCTTTGAGCAGGGTGATTAGCTTTAAGCAGGGTGATTTGATAGTCATAGTAGTACCCACATATAGCACGGTTACGAATACTTTATCACATATCCGTGCAGTTTTTGTGACTCTGTATAAATAGTATTTATTGCATTGTCGTGCATATATTTTGATGTGATGTCATACACGTGCGTTATACAAACGAAGTGTTAAGAGGCGCTAAATGTTAGTTTTACACTTTAAGTGTGTCAATGACAATGTGAATTTTTTTTACTGTAAACAGTTATTATTTTGGATATATGATAAATAGAATATTATTTTCATGTAGGTTCATTACTAAATATGCACTAGTTGTATAGATTGATATTATTCTCGCCAGAGGCTTGCATAATATAATTTTATTCAACTTGTTTAATAAGTTCAGGATTGAACGTACATTCTTTCAGTATCCTCTATTTATTGTACCCTGGCTCTGCTTCCACATGTGAAGCGTGATAGTTGCTAAATAACCTTTCCATTTTCAGAGTGACTTTAAATTTATGAAAATCTAAATGAAAAAAAAAACAAAACAAAAAAAAAAAACTTTAAAATCACTCTTCTCAGAAACTTTTACCCACATTCTTTTATATAAAGTCTTACTGGCATGCCAGCAGTTCCCGTACAACAATCGTAGTAACTTAAACATTATTTTCTATTATGCTCACTCACCAAAAATTGAATGTTACACATCAATATTCGGCTTGTCACACAAATCATGGAAATTCCATCATGTTCTAAACTTAGTTATGAGGCATATGGGGTACTGAAATTATCTATTATTTTGTTTGAAGAGAAGTAGTTCCCGTACATAAATTTTAACCCATTATAATTATACAATTTTGTTATATCGGACCTATTTTTCATTTATAATTGTTGAACAGACCATTTTCTCAGAGGTAAATAGATGTAATTCAGGAAATACAGCGTAGACTAAACGCTGGTATCTATTACCCGGTACCGTTACCCCAACACATTCACACGCAGTGGCGTGCTTGTATGCATGATATTTTACTCATTAAAGTCATGAAATTATTTAATTTAGTAAAATAGGTCAAAATTCTGATAATTAAACAAGTTTTCATCACATTGCCTACTTATCTGTATTCAGGTTGTATTAGTGGAAAACCCTTTAGCAGGCCTCTCTTTTATGCATCTTATTGATTTGATATCAATTTTTGAAGAATATAAGTAAAAATCAAGTGTTTAAATGAAAAATACAAGTATTGCTTCTGTACGGGAACTGCTCGCATGCCAGTACAGTGTTATTCATCTTTTACTGAAATACGATTGGAAAATGATTTTTATTTGTTGAAAAAACGTTCTGTAAAAACTTTATACAGATTCTTAAATCATAAATGTCGTAAGTCACTAAGTGGACTGTCTGTCTATGGAAAAATAAATAAATCATCTGCACACATTTTCCTTTGAGCATTTAGTGGTGTGTAGCCTTTTCCATAGTGGTATTTGAATAATATATAAGCTAGAAAAATCCAATAATAGACACACTGATCCGGCAGACGCATTACAAAGTTTAAACAAATGCTCAGGCGGTATTCCCCCGTTGTTAATCGTGGCTACTTTTCTTGATTTTATTCGCTTATAATATTTGTTTAAGTGTTAAAAGCTTCTATATTTGGCTATCATTGATTTTAATTATTTTGACAACGTTTAATGGAAGGAGTTGGTTTGGTTAAAGGCAAAGTGTTACACCCTGTACAGTACTGATTGATTTTAAGGTTTTACAGCTTTTTATGATGTAATGTTTAAATACCTTTTAGAAAGTGTTTATGTAGGGTCAATAGTATTCCTGATAATAAATTTCAGGACATGGGGGGGGGTTTTTCTTTGTAAAAGTACAATATGTATAGGGTTTATTTGGTAGGCCTTTTAAAGCAGCCACAAAAATGATAGAAAAATAATAAGATCTGTGTCAGCATATTTTAGTGAAATAAGTTAAAACATGACTGTACATAAAAAATCTCCGGATAAATTTTATGATATGCTCGAAGATATTTTCAAAATCTTGAAGAATAAACATAAAATCTTAACTTAATTACTGTTTATTGGATGAATTGTTTATATAAATAATGACCAATTAACACAGTTTGACTAGACAAATTATGTAATTTCATGAAAGAAACTGGATGTTTGCCCTTTTAAAAGAAGTAAAAAATTATTAGTTTTCGAGGCTTAATGTGCCTTTAAATCTGTAAGTGCACCATAAATACACAAAAAAGATAAACAAAACAATTCTGTCATAATTTGTACTTTATTGCAACAGTGTTCTTATTTGCTAATTTTGATACCGTGTTCTTGTCCGTGTCTTTAATTCATTTTCTGATTTTTCCTGTTATTCTTGCACTAATGGTCATTTTCCGAGATGTGATGTATGACAATAGTGGTTGTATATAATGATTAGCTGACTTATTTTTTTGAGCTGCTCAGTTAAAGCAGATCTTTTTTTTCCACAGGTTGGGGAAGCAGCCCTGCCCTTAATTTTGGGGAAAAATTACACGGTATATTTGCACATGGGGAAGAAAAAACTTGATGTAAATTGAATTTTTGGGGAAAACTGCATGATTTTTCAGGGAAGCAGCCCTTTAACGGCCCCTGCTATAGAAGGAATAAAAGACCTGTAAAATATCTTGTAAAAAAAATAGCAAATACAACAAGGTACAAGTGTAACCCTAATTTTTCTCATTGTTTAGTGTAATGGGTTGATTTAGGTAAGTGAATTGCATCTAGCAAGGTTTTTGGAGGAAATCATAGATTGATATTATAATTGATATAGAATTTCACATAATCTATTCACCATAAACAACATTGGTTTATGCATGAAATGATATATCAGTTCTCAAATTTTGAATGTCACAATTCTACATGAAATGAAATAGCAGTTCTCAAATTTAAATGTCGCAGTTCTGAATGAAAGTCTTTATATTGGCTACTAGTTTGACAAGGATTCATTACAAGATGAATACCATGTTTTCATTCTATACTTTTAACGTTATTGAACGCTAACCAGATCTTTTGTGTCTCTGTAAATTGGTTACAGCAATAATTGAATACCTCAATATATTTTAATTTGCTTTAATTACGTTTTGGTATACATTGTGATCAATCGGTTTTGATAAAGATTTTGTATAGTAGAATCTAGGCTATGAAATTGTGATCCAGATTAAGCATACAGATAAGATTGTTTTTATACAAAGTGTATTTTTTTATACCGACCCAAGTATTGTCAAACGCTGTTTAATATCAGTTAGATGTGTTTTATATTTAAACGCCACATTGAATACAAGTATTGTTTTGTTGCCAAAGGGATGAAATGCGTGAGATACGGGTAGTGGCAGAGAATGGCCGATATAAAGCTATGTCATTGTTATATGTTTTGTGTCAACATTTAATGATTAATTAATGATTACCCATTGATAATCATGTGTAGAGAAGAAGGCTTTTTGAATATTAATTTTAATGAGCAAACTCTTTCAGTCTCTCGATGTATTTTTATGTCTCCACAAAGTGGGGAGCATATAGTGTTGCACTTGTCCGTCAGTACGTCCGTCCGTCCATCCGTACGTCTGTCTGTATGTCCCGAAATCTTGTGAACGCAACTCCTCTTAAACCGGATGGCAGATTTTGCTTAAACTTCCAGGGATGAACAACCTTAATGTGTAGATGGTAGTAAAGGAAGGAATTTTTTGCTGCGACCAAATTTAACAGAATTATGGCCCTTTGTTGATTTTTTCACTATAGTAAGTAAGTAATTGCATTTTATAGTCTAAGTTTCATGCTTACGCACGTTCACCGACTTTACAGCTATTACCCCTGGTCATAGGGCTACTGGTATCTATCTATCAATCTCCCTGGGGAGTCTTTTAACTCCGCTTAGTGCAGCCGACACTTGGCGCAACGGAATTATACCACCCTCGCAGGTACCCATTTACACCTGGGTGAAGTGAAGCAATCGCAGGTAAATTTCTTGCTCAAGGAAATTAGCAGTGCCCCTGGTGGGGTTCGAACCCGGGACCTCTCGATCCCTAAGCGCGCGTCCTACCACTGGACTACTGATCCTGCGTACTATATACTATGTAGAAATTTTGTGAACGCAACTCCTCTTAAACTGGATGGCAGATTTTGCTTAAACTTCCAGGGATGAACAACCTTAATGTGTTGATGGTGGTAAAGGAAGGAATTTTCGCTGCGACCAAATTTAACAGAATTATGGCCCTTTGTTGATTTTTTCACTATATACTATGTAGAAATTTTGTGAACGCAACTCCTCTT